CTTCTCATTTTTTTTGTCATTTATCTTCGTCTCGTGAGTTTATATATATTTTGATTTTTGTTCATCGTAGAAAAATATTTGAGATTTTATATTTTAAACGTTGGTCTTTCTAGAATCAATCACAGTAGCAGTTGGTGGACATGTAAATCACGACCGAAAGATGAAATATACCTTCTAATTATGATTAAAGGCAAAGTTAATTCATGTATTATACGTATCCTCCGTTTTCAAATATGAACGGGTACATGTTGATGAATCCATTAACCTCTCTTCCTTCTATATAATGTTTGGAAAAACAGAAAATCATATATATGAAAAACATGGATTCAAACAGAAGTGCTCTCGCCTCTGTCATTGGATCGTGTGCAGAGCTTTTGATAGGTTTGGCTGTACTGTTAATGGCGATTATTAATGGATACCAGATGTATTTCTGGATGAAGAACCGAAGCTCTCGTCAACGTGGTCTAGTCCTACCGCCACATGTTCTACCGGCGCATGTGCTACTGCAAGTTTTGTCACGCTTCTTAAGGAAGGAATTCACATATGTATATATATATTTTTTTTTTCTTTTCCTTGTCGTCGTCTTACTCGAGTTATATGAAACCTCGAGTTGATTATATATACTGTCTGTAATCATCATATTCATATATATGAAAATTAAATCTTCGACCAAAACAAGCATGAATTAAATCAAACAAGTATGTGGATGACAAGTGGAAATTACTTTTCCTCTTCTTCCATTCAATAGAAAGCGTATGTCACACTCGCTTATCTTTTGGTCATTCCTTATACTAGATTTTGATCCGTGTCCAAACGCGGAATAAATAATTAGATTGATTAATCGATTTTAACATTTTTTAAAATATTTAAACGTGCATGATAAATCATATGATTTTTAATATCTACAAACGTACAAAAAGGATATGTATTATGCATAAATATAATAAAATTAAATACTTATTATCAAGCATATGTTAATGCCATTAGTTTTGATATTTTTATGTGTTTAAATGATCAAAATATATACTAATGTTAATTATTTCAATATCTTTAAGTGTAAATATCTTATTATATCTAA